ACCCCCTGGAAGGGCCCAGCCATGCTCAGATGCCCGAACAGCAGCAGGAATCCAATTCCCATTTATTTCTTTCCAAAGAAGCTCCTGTTCTCCTGCTTCCTCTACCAGCTTTCCTCGAGTTTTCCTCCCACTTTCCTCACTTCCTTCTGGCTGTTAAGGGATGTGGGAACAAGGTTTGAGGGGAGGAGCTGAGCACGTAGCCCCAGTGCTGTTGTCTCGAGTTTTCCTCCCACTTTCCTGACTTCCTTCTGGCTGTTAAGGGATGTGGGAACAAGGTTTGAGGGGAGGAGCTGAGCACGTAGCCCCAGTGCTGTTGTCTCGAGTTTTCCTCCCACTTTCCTGACTTCCTTCTGGCTGTTAAGGGATGTGGGAACAAGGTTTGAGGGGAGGAGCTGAGCACGTAGCCCCAGTGCTGTTGTCTGGCCCAGCTGAGCCCGTTCCTGGGAGCAGGGTTATCCCGAGGTGCCTGGAGAGAGGAGAGCAGCACTCAGGGCTCTCTGAGTGTCAGGGTGGGTTTACACAGTGTCTGCTTTCCAGGGAGCCCAGGCTGGTGATGTTCCTTTGGGAACATCAGTGAGGGGTGTATGGTCAGGAATTTCTGCTGGAGCCATGCCCGTGGTCAGCAGAGATCACCCTGGGTCTGTGGGCTCTTCCCACATGTGTGGGGGCAGAGAGCTGGAGCCAGCACTGCCTGGGTGCTCCTGGATCCAGCCAGCACTGCTGGGTCCTTCTAGTCTCAGCTTTGCTCTCTGTGCTGGAGCAGCTCTCTGTTCCAGAGCAGTTTTTGCCTGTTAATGAGCCCAGATATGTAAATTATGTTAAACTCAGCCGTGCAATGGGCTGGGTTTGGAACAATCACAACAGGTTGGGCTCCTGACTTTTTTATTTTGAATGGTTACACTTGGCAGCCCTTCACTCTGTTCTCATCTCAGAGCTCTTAAATTGGAATAATTGAGTTGTTAAAGCTGAAGGAGATGGGAGCAGCAGTGGGAGAAGGGTTTGTGGACTTGGAAATTGGCTGGGGACAGCTCTGGGTGAGTGGCAGAGTCATGGGAGGGGACAGGGACAGCTGGTGACAAACAGTGCTTCAGCCAGGTGGGAAAGGACAAGAAGGATTTTTAAAATTAATTTATTGGATGTTCCACAACCAAAATTAATCTTGGAGATGAGGGAGCCTTCTTTTATAAACAGATCATCATTTCTGGATTGTGTTTGTGGTGGGGACATGATCACTGCTGGCCTTGGCAGTGCTGGGGACAGTTGGACTCGGTGGGCTGTGAAGGCTTTTCTAGTCTTGTAGCTATGATATTTTATTAAAAATCCTTTCCTAGGATTTTTTCACTCCTGAGAGCCTCAGGAAAGAAATGTAAACAATAACTATTCTGTGGAGTAAACAATAACTATGCTGTGGAATGCAACAGGTGCATCTTCCATTGGTCCATGTGCATTGTTTTTAGTTGATGACCAATCACAGCCACCTGTGAGCAGTCACAAAATTTTGTTATGCATTCTATTCTATTGTTCTTTGTTCCCTTCTGGTCATCTTTTCTCTCTGTTCTTTTAGTACAGTTTTAATGTAGTATTTTAATACAATATATAAGATAATAAATCAGCCTTCTGAGAAACATAGACTCAAACCTCGTGTCTCCACACACAGAGAGTTCACCTCAACACAGTCTCAACAATTCCTTGATTCCATATGGCTTTGCTGGTCTTGTTTTAGCTTGAGTGTGGCTTTGTGCACTGGACTTTGCCAGTTTGCAGCTCCAGCCCCCTCTGCTCCTTGTCCCTGTTGGTGCCCTGGTGTTCCCACCATCCTTGTGTTCCTGGTGTCCCAGTCCAGCCAGGGATTTGTGAAGGGACCGGGGAACAGCTGCAGCTCTGGGTGCTGTCCAGACAGCTGGAGAGCAGGATTTTGTCTTGGGAGGGTTTGTTTTCTGTCTGCTCCATGTTCACAACCCCCACAGGGAACTGGAGGCTGCACAAAACCAGGAGTCTCATTCTGGCTGTAAAATAAGAGTCAGAATGTTGAGGGTGTGTCCTGGTATCCTGGAATGGCTGGGCTGGGAAGGGAAGCTGTGGCTGCCCCATCCCTTGAAGTGTGCAGGGCCAGGTTGGAGCTACCTGGGCTAGTGGAAGGTGTCCCCGCCATGGCAGGGCATGGAATGGGTTGAGCTTTAGAGTCCCTCCAACCCAAACCATTCCATAATCCTGTGACAGTCCTGGAGAGGCTTTGCTTTTGGTCTTGGCTCCTGCTCTGAACGGAGGTTTTTCCATGCTGCTTTTACTCGGAGCAAAGACCTCCCACAGGAGCCTGGCCAGGACCACAGGCTGGGGTTTGTCCCCGCTGGTTTTTGGGGTGGTTGGTGGGAAATGTGGAGTTGAGAGAAGGAACCAGCTCTGGTGCTGCCAGAACCCACACGAGCAGCAAAGTCAGGACGACATGATCACTGCTGGCCTTGGCAGTGCTGGGGACAGTTGGACTCGGTGGGCTGGGAGGGCTTTTCTTGTAGCTATGACAGTTTATTAAAAATCCTTTCCTATGATTTTTTCACTCCTGAGAGCCTCAGGAAAGAAATGTAAACAATAACTATTCTGTGGAGTAAACAATAACTATGCTGTGGAATGCAACAGGTGCATCTTCCATTGGTCCATGTGCATTGTTTTTAGTTGATGACCAATCACAGCCACCTGTGAGCAGTCACAAAATTTTGTTATGCATTCTATTCTATTGTTCTTTGTTCCCTTCTGGTCATCTTTTCTCTCTGTTCTTTTAGTACAGTTTTAATGTAGTATTTTAATACAATATATAAGATAATAAATCAGCCTTCTGAGAAACATAGACTCAAACCTCGTGTCTCCACACACAGAGAGTTCACCTCAACACAGTCTCAACAATTCCTTGATTCCATATGGCTTTGCTGGTCTTGTTTTAGCTTGAGTGTGGCTTTGTGCACTGGAGTTTGCCAGTTTGCAGCTCCAGCCCCCTCTGCTCCTTGTCCCTGTTGGTGCCCTGGTGTTCCCACCATCCTTGTGTTCCTGGTGTCCCAGTCCAGCCAGGGATTTGTGAAGGGACCGGGGAACAGCTGCAGCTCTGGGTGCTGTCCAGACAGCTGGAGAGCAGGATTTTGTCTTGGGAGGGTTTGTTTTCTGTCTGCTCCATGTTCACAACCCCCACAGGGAACTGGAGGCTGCACAAAACCAGGAGTCTCATTCTGGCTGTAAAATAAGAGTCAGAATGTTGAGGGTGTGTCCTGGTATCCTGGAATGGCTGGGCTGGGAAGGGAAGCTGTGGCTGCCCCATCCCTTGAAGTGTGCAGGGCCAGGTTGGAGCTACCTGGGCTAGTGGAAGGTGTCCCCGCCATGGCAGGGCATGGAATGGGTTGAGCTTTAGAGTCCCTCCAACCCAAACCATTCCATAATCCTGTGACAGTCCTGGAGAGGCTTTGCTTTTGGTCTTGGCTCCTGCTCTGAACGGAGGTTTTTCCATGCTGCTTTTACTCGGAGCAAAGACCTCCCACAGGAGCCTGGCCAGGACCACAGGCTGGGGTTTGTCCCCGCTGGTTTTTGGGGTGGTTGGTGGGAAATGTGGAGTTGAGAGAAGGAACCAGCTCTGGTGCTGCCAGAACCCACACGAGCAGCAAAGGCAAGGCCAGGTCCTGCTGTGGGGGCTGAGCTGGGGGTCCCAGCACTGGATCAGGCTGGAATCATGGTGCCAGCAGTGCCAGCACTGGGCTGCTGAATTGCTGGAATCAGTCATGGTCCCAGCAGTGGGATCCATGGTCCCAGCAGTGGGATCACCATGCTGGAATCCCAGTCCCAGCAGTGGGATCACCATGCTGGAATCCCAGTCCCAGCAGTGGGATCACCATGCTGGAATCCCAGTCCCAGCAGTGGGATCACCATGCTGGAATCCCAGTCCCAGCAGTGGGATCACCATGCTGGAATCCCAGTCCCAGCAGTGGGATCACCATGCTGGAATCCCAGTCCCAGCAGTGGGATCACCATGCTGGAATCCCAGTCCCAGCAGTGGGATCACCATGCAGGAGTCAGTCATGGTCCCAGCAGTGGGATCCATGGTCCCAGCAGTGGGATCACCATGCTGGAATCCCAGTCCCAGCAGTGGGATCACCATGCAGGAGTCAGTCATTGTCCCAGCAGTGGGATCCATGGTCCCAGCAGTGGGATCACCATGCTGGAATCCCAGTCCCAGCAGTGGGATCACCATGCTGGAATCCCAGTCCCAGCCGTGGGATCACCATGCTGGAATCACGGTCCCAGCAGTGGGATTGCTGTGCTGGAGTGAGTTCCAGAGAGCTGGAGAGGGACTTTAGACAAGGGCTTGGAGTGACAGGACAGAGGGGAATGGCTTCCCCCTGCCAGAGGGCAGGGTCACTTGGGGTACTGGGGAGAAATCCTTCCCTGTGAGGGTGGGCAGGCCCTGGCTGTGGCTGCCCCATCCCTGGAAGTGTTCCAGGCCAGGTTGGACAGGGCTTGAAGCAACCTGGGATAGTGGAAGGTGTCCCTGCCCATGGCAGGGGGTGGGACTAGGTGAGCTTTAGGGGTCCCTCCAAAACATTCCGTGATTCTGTGATTTGGGAAAGTTTTAAAGAAGGTTTTAAAATGAGAACTTGAGACAACTGGGTCAACGGAGCTGGGAGGGAGAAGGGAGGAGAGCATTGATGGGGACATTAGACAGTGGATCTGTTGAGGGGATGGAGATGATGTGAGCCAGGACTGGGGTTATCTGATTGTTCACAGAAAATGTGTCTAGAGAGCTCTGTGAGCGTCCAGCAATCTCTTGGTTTGTACACTTGCTGGGATGGCTCTTCCCATAGGGAATGGTATAATATGAACTGGTTTTCCTGACATACAGCTGGGTTTGGGAAGGGTTTTTAGCCATCTGTCATGTTCTGACGTGAAGTGCTTTGATTTTCTGGGAAGGAAGACATGTTACTCCTGTGAGAACAGCTTTCTCTGAGCATCTTCTGTTTCCTTAGGGTACGGAGTCCATCAAGATGGAGAACGGGCAAAGCACGGCAGCAAAGCTGGGGCTGCCCCCTCTCACCCCAGAGCAGCAGGAAGCTCTCCAGAAAGTGAGTAAAACTGGTGGGAATTTGCTGTTTGGGGGGTGGTGGTGTGATTCAATGAGCCTCTGTCACTGGTGGGGCCAAAGGGAACTCACCACCACATCTCTGGGGTCGTGGCCGTGCTGGAGGGTCCCACAGTGACATTTGGGCCCAGGAATTACTTGGTTTGGTTTAGAGTTCATGGACACTTCTGGGAGCACGTTGGGGTGGGTGAGAGTGGGTGTCATTTAAAAAGTCAATCAGTTCAGGAAAGCAGCATCCTAAGTCAGGTGGGAATTCTGAGCTAGGGTGTGGCTATCACAAAGTCACTGAGGAGCTCCAGGAAGACTGAAATTGGGATCTGCTCCAGCTGGCCTGTCATTGTCCACACTCAGAATGGGACACATCCCAGAATATTCCTGTCCTTGGGATGGCAGGGACACAGAGCTGTGTCCTCAGGAGGCTCCATGTGGCTTTGCCTGTGCTGTCCCAGCTGTCCCTCTGTGCGAGGTGGCTGGCTCCCAGCCTCATTCCCTCTGGCTTCTCGGGAGCCACATGCAAGCCCCCTTGTCCATTTCCAGGTTTCCAAAGCACAGCCCTCAGGTCCCTGGGTTAGATCCTCTTGTGCCCTGGCAGCTCCCAAACACAGCCACGGAGCCCAGGTGCCAAGGGGTGGCTGAGTGTGTGTCCTGGGGACAGGCACAGGTGTGGGGATGAGGTTTGCCTTGGCACTGAGCCTCGGTGCTGGCACCCCGGAATCTGGCTTTGCCAGATTTGGGGAGGACTGGGAGAAACCCCAAGGGAGCCTTGTGTGGGCAGGTAGAGCCAGAGGGGAGCTGGGGCATTTAGGGAGCAGAGGGAAGAGCTGGTGTGTTTTGGGAGCAGAGGCAGAGGTGAGCTGGGGCATTTAGGGAGGAGAGAGAAGAGCTGGTGTGTTCTGGGAGCAGAGGCAGAGGGGAGCTGGGGCATTCAGGGAGCAGAGGGAAGAGCTGGTGTGTTCTGGGAGCAGAGGGAAGAGCTGGTGTGTTCTGGGAGCAGAGCCAGAGGCGAGCTGGAGCATTTAGGGAGGAGAGAGAGGAGCTGGTGTGTTTTGGGAGCAGAGGCAGAGGTGAGCTGGGGCATTCAGGGAGCAGAGGGAAGAGCTGGTGTGTTCTGGGAGCAGAGGCAGAGCAGGCCAGGTGTGCTGAGCGGGCAGAGCCCAGCCTGGGGTGGCCATGGGGAGGAGGGAGGTGCAGCCCCTTCCCTCCTGTAGCACCTGGCTGTGCAGACGCTCTCTGAGAGGAGAGGACTGGAGGAGGCCGTGCCCGCCCCGGCCCTGCAGGTAAGGGGCTGAGGTGGGCTGGAAGAGGGGAACGCCGAGCTCCGGGTGCATGCTGCTGCCCTGCGCTGCCCCTCACCACATCCTCTGTGTCCCGGGGCCTCGGGGAGCTGGGGAGCTGGGGGCAGTGCCCTGGTGCTTAGGCGTGGAGACCGGAAGGTTCTGGGAGCTGTGGAGGCATCCTTCCCTGCCCCGCTGTGCTGTGCTGCCCCTACAGCCCCTGTTCTCCTTCCAGGCCAAGAAGTACGCGATGGAGCAGAGCATCAAGAGCGTGCTGGTGAAACAAACCATCGCCCACCAGCAGCAGCAGCTCACCAACCTCCAGGTGAGAGCCCCCTGCGAGCCGCTCCCTCTGCCTCGTGCTCCCCCCCACCACGGTGGAGTTCTCAGGGCCCTCGGAGCCAGAGCACAGCCCTGAGCCTGCAGCTCACCCAGGCGCCCCGACTAACCTCACAAATTGCCCGCAGATCACTCTTGTTCCAAGAGGAAATGGTTAAAAGTTCCAGTCCTGTTGGACGTCCCTTCTTGAGATACAGGAAGCCAAAGACTTTGCCGTGGGCTTTGCTTCTGAGCCATGTTTGAGGTGGTGAAGGCAGAAGGGATCCTGGGAACAGTGTCCTGTCACCATCTCCTCTGCCTGAGGGAGGGTCCCCGTGTCCCCGTGTCCCAGTGCTGCGCCCAGTCCCTCCCCTGCACCCAGGTGCTCTCAATTTCGGAGAAGTTCTGTTGGCTCTTCCTGCTTGTACTGGAATGCCCATGCCGGGAGAGCCCTTAACTGGGGTTTGACCTCCCCTCCTTCAGAGGTTTCTGGAACATGTCTCAGTGCCTTTTCTCAAAGTCAGGAAGCCCAAAACGAGGGCTTTGCCTGAGGAATCCCTGCGGATGTGCTCTCCCTGCCCGGCAGCTGAGGCCGTTCGGGGCTGTGCCTGGTTCTGAGGGTCTGCTCTAGTGGAGGGGCTCCTTTTAAATGCCGGGGGTGAATCAACGACAGTGGTTGCAGAGGTTACTATTGCCTTGAGTCCCCCCTGGGATCCCACCCTGCTTCCCGAGGCAGCGGCAGCAGCACAACCCCACCCTGGCCTGGTGGGACCGGACTCGGCAGGGTCCTGGCGCCGGACACTCCTGGGGACCAGGCAGTGAGGGCCGAGGAAGGAGAGGCCTCTCGCAGGTGCCCCTGCGCCGCCGCTCTGCTTGAGTTTGTACAAACAGCCGTAGTATGCTCAGCTCCAACAGACTGAACTCTGTCTTTACTGTCTTTCAGATGGCAGCAGTGACAATGGGCTTTGGAGATCCTCTCTCACCTTTACAATCGGTCAATAGACATATTCACTTCTTCTGGGGCACTTGTCTTAGTCAGGGCCTAGCGTGGGGACGTTCGTAGTGGTGCCAATGCTCTTGTCCGCGCCCAGCGCAGCCCTCCCACATCCCCACCTGTACTGGACACGCCCAGGAGCAGAGCGAGGTGTCACTGCCCCGAGAAGACCCCAGGCTGTGCAGTCTGCGGGGACACTGCCACTCGGGGGCAAAGACAGCTTTAGATTTCCACCAGTTCTGAACACACCCGTGAAATTGTGGGAGCTGCATTTCTAGGGATGCTACAGTTCTGAGGTCCCGACCTAAAACTAACGGCCAAGGTAACTCACCAAGGGGCGACTTCTTGTGGAACGACCTCCCAGCACCCAGAGCCGGCCGGTGCTGGGGAGGGCCGGGGTGCCGGAGGTTGGCAGAACATGGTGCAGCCCAGGCTCAGACTCTCTTTACTGTGCACGCTCCAGACCAGGGCAGTATGGCACGTTGCGGGTGCAGCAAAAGCAGGATGGAAGGGACAGAGCTGCAGGACCGAGCAGAGAACTTGTGTGAGCTTTTGTGCCCCTTCTAATCAGAGGCCACAAAGAGCTGAATGACTTGGCACGATCCGTCCCCTCCTTTTTCCAAGACGTGCTGGACGAGGTGTCCTGTGACTCCTCTCTGCACCCAAAGGTTCACTTGGAAATTCATTTGCACGTTTTTGTAAATACCTCTCTGTCTTGCTGGAATATGAGATTTGTGCCTGGTGTAAAACACGGGCGGAGGTTTGAACTCCCAAGAAAAAGGGCACTGAGGTGAAATGCCCAGTCTCCCTCTTTGGCAGTGGGGAGCCAGAATGGGTGTTCTGGGGCAGGGGTAAGTTTGGAGTGGAGCAGAGCAGCCGTCTTGGTGTGGATTTGGCAGAGATGGTGTCCTCATGCCCAGGAACTCCCCCCATCCCTGGAGCTGCTGCCTGACAGTGGAACTCCAGCAATTTGGCCTAAATTGTTTCTGGCTCGTTCTCCCCAGCTGGGCACAGCTGAGGTGGTGGCACAGGAAAATTTTAATGGCTTATGACCCCCAGGGCACTGGGCTGTGACTCCTTTTCCTCAGCCATTCCTCCCTCGGGAGTCACAGGTGGACACGGCCCAGGAGCAGGAGCCTGGTGCAGTTCAGAGCAGTCAGGATATCCCATTCTTGGCAGGTGCTTCATTCCAGAGCCCACTCAGAATGCACGAACAGCCCCCTGTCCAGCACTTTTCCTGTTGCCAAGGTTCCCCAGTTCCTCTGTGGAGGCAGCGCAGCCTGAGCTCCCTGAGCTCTGGGTTTCAGGGCCTGAGTTGCAGCTTCCCATGGGCTCAGTCCTCAGTGTCACAGTGTAAGATTCCCACGTCCCCTCACCATCCCCTGGTGTCACTGTCATGACTGATGCTCGTGGTGAGGGTTGTGCATCACCTGCTTTGATTACAAGAGCATCCCAAGGTGGGGTTTTGGCCTGTCTTTAAAATGACCTCCCCATCCTTTCAGAGCAGCATTGCACAGCTGCAGGTGGGGGCTGCTGCCTGGCTGAGGCTTCAGGTGCTTTTCCATGTTACAGGAGGAGAAAGAGGCGCAGGGAGCAGTGAGATCAGCCTGGGGGCTGCTGAGAGCAGTGAGATGTCCAGGCAGGAGGCCCTGACACCGAGCTGTGCTGAGCTCAGGTGCCCAGGGCACATCTCCCACCCGGATGCTGCTGTTGGTGACCCACTGACACCCGCAGTCAGCACAGCCCATCTCAGCTCTGCCTCCTGCCAGCCCAAAATCCCAGGGGCATTAAGGCTGGGAAAGACCTCCGAGGTCATCGAGTCTGAGCTGTGCCTGATCCCCACCCTGTCACCAGCCCAGAGCACTGAGTGCCACGTCCAGGTGTTCCCTGGACACCTCCAGGGATGGGGACTCCACACCTCCCTGGGCAGCCTCTTCCAGTGCCTGACCACCCTTTGCAGGAAGGAATTCTTCTGCTGTCTGAAAATCCTGAGTCTCTTCACTCCCTCACCTCTCCTTTAGACTCCTGTGGCAGGGCAAGGTGGGGATTTCCTCTGCAGAGGCTCCTCGGGAGAGGTGCCTCCCTGGGACACCCAGGGTGACACTGGTGGTGGCTCTGACCCCCTGAACGGATACGCTGCAGACTGAGGGGCTTTCCTGCACCGAAGCTGGGAGTGTGCTGCAGCACCTGGGAGAGCACCCAGCCTCTGTCCTGCATGTGTACGTGCCATAGTCCTGCTGGTCACAGCCTGCAGAGTAAAGAGAGCCGTGGCCCAGCCGTGCTGGGGAATCCTTAGCCAGGCAGGGGGCAAGCTGGATGTCACCTCAGGAGCAGCAGCTGGGGCTGGATGCCACCTCAGGGGCAGTCTGGGCTGAATGTCACCTCAGGAGCAACAATTGGGGTTTAATGTCACCTCAGGAGCAACAGTTGGGGCTGGATGTCACCACAGGAGCAACATTTGATGCTTGATGTCACCTCAGGAGCAGCAGTTGGGATTTAATGTCACCTCAGGAGCAGCAGTTGGGGCTCGATGTCACCTCAGGGGCAGAGTCTGGGGCTCGATGTCACCTTAGGGGCAGAGTTCAGGGCTTGATGTCACCTCAGGAGCAGCATTGGGGTCTAATGTGGCCTCCTCAGGGACAGTCTGGGGTGAGAGCTGTCCCTGTTTGCAGTGTCCTGTATGGAATGGCAGGAGTTAAACCCTCCCAGGTTGTTTCCTCCCATGGCCAGTGGCAGTCCTGGACAGGAGCAGGAGTCCCTCGGGTACAGGCTGTGTCCCTGCTGCTGTGCCTGTCACAGATGAGCTCTCCCTCCTTTTGGGCTGCAGCATCCCCAGGCAGAGCTCCTGTGCTCATTAGGGCACCCCAGAAATCAGCCTTGAGGAGGCCCTGAGCGCTTTCCCTCTGCCCCAGGGGTCCCCAGGCATGGCAGAGCTCCTCTGCTCCTTAGGGCACCCCAGAAATCGTCTCCTGAAGGCCCTGGTTGCAGCCCCTGTGCCCTGGGGGTGCTCAGAGCTCCCTGCTGTGTTGCTGGGCAGGGCCAGAGGCATCACCTGCTGCTGCTGCACCAGCCTCTTCCTGCCCCAGGTGTGTCCCACCTGCCCCAGAGCCATCCCCTCACATGCAGGCAGTGACTCCTCCAGAGCCCCGAGGTGTGGCCGCATCTCCAGGGCCACGTCCCTCAGCAGCTCTAGAGCTGCTCTGGGGGTGACAGACACGAAGGACACACTGTGCTCTGCTTTTGGGATCCCTCCTGTAAGGAATGGCTGGATTTGTCTTGAAAGCAGGTTTCCAGGCAGACTTAGGGCACCGTGGCAGGAACCCTGTGTGCAGCAGCCGCGTGTTGGGGCTGCCCCAGTACAGCCAGTGCCGCCAGGCAGGGATGAGTACTGGCACCACGCGCTTCCCAGGAGTCCCACTGGGCCATGGGAGTGTTTGGCTTTGCCGTTGAGCTGTGGAAGTGGTGCCCAGTACTGGATCTCGGACTGCCGGGGGTGGGGGGAGGCTCTGGTGCCGGAGGGAGGGGGGAGGTTCCCAGCTGCAGACCCTTTGCTGCCGGGGAGGACGGGCGGGGGCGGGAGTGCCGATGGATCTCTGCTGTTGGGGGGGGCGGGAGGGCTTCTCCCAGTGCCCAGAGCTGAGCCCTTTGCTGCCTGGAGGGGGAAGCTGCCCTAGAGAGAAGGGATTCCCTCCTCCTGCAGGCGTGGCTGGAGATGAGATCAGGCCGGGGGAGACCCGGCGTGTCTGCCCCGCGACGAGCCGGACTTTATCCGGGACCGAGCCGGACGGATCCGCTCCAGCGGCCTGTGCAGCGAGCAGGGAAATCCTTCTGATCCAGGCTGTGCCAGAGCTGCCGGCAGGGCTGGCTCCCGGGAGGGAAGCAGCAGCAGGGGGAGGAGGCCCCGGTGGCCACGGCCGGCCCGGCACTGACCGGCCAGTCCTTGTCTCGCTACAGATGGCGGCTCAGAGGCAGCGCGCGCTCGCCATCATGTGCCGGGTCTACGTGGGCTCCATCTACTACGAGCTGGGGGAGGACACCATCCGCCAGGCCTTCGCCCCCTTCGGGCCCATCAAGAGCATCGACATGTCCTGGGACTCCGTCACCATGAAGCACAAGGTGGGATGGGGCTGCTGGCAGTGGGAGGTTCCCTGCCTGCTTTAAGGTTCTGGATGAGTTTAAGCTCCTGTCCCGCACAAAGCGTTGTGGGATTGCCTGGATCTGGCAAAGAGCAGGTGAGCTGTCCTGGGAAGGGGTGGAATTCCTTGGGGGCAGCGAGAGCTGGTGATGCTGATGGCCTAGTGATGAGGCGTTTTGGGGTCTTCTGCAAGGGCGTTTCTTTCACAACACAAAATGAGCAGCTTTGCAGAATTCTGGAAGGAATTCTTCCCCGTGAGGGTGGCGAGGCCCTGGCACAGGTTGGCCAGACAATCTCTGGCTGCCCTGTCCCTGGAAGTGTCCAGGGTCAGGCTGGATGGGGTTTGGAGCAACCTGGTCTAGTGGAAGGTGTGGAACTGGATGGGCTCTAAGGTCCCTACAACCCAAACCTTTCCTGATTCTGTGATTCCCAGCCCTCAAGGAACACCCTCCTCTCTTCAAGGCTTTCCAGATGCAGCCAGGAGAGCAAAGGGCCTCTATCCCTGTGAAGAACAGGCTCCTTTTAGCACTGGGGGTGAATGTTTGCTGCTCCCTGATCTGCTTAGGGCAGGATTCTGTGGTGGGAGCCAGGGGTGTGTGGGGTGACGTGCATGGAATCAGAATCGTTGAGGTTTGAAGAGACCACCCAGAGCACTTCGTGCCACATTCAGTCATTCCTTGGGCATCTCCAGGGGTGAGGACTCCACACCTCCTTGGACAGCCCCTTCCAATTCCTGACCCCCCTTTCAATGAAGAAATTCCTCCTGGTGTCCAAGGGGAAGCTCTGGAGATGCTGACAAGGCAGCAGCCCTTAGTTAGGTGGGGCTTTGCTGCAGGGCCTCGGAGTCCAGGAGGCTCCAGAATCAGATATCCTTGGGGGAACCTCTGCAGGACCCTTTCTGCCATATTAAAAGGCTTTTCTAAGGAACCACCTTGGGCCACAAGCAGGAATCAGTGAGGTGGGAATCAATTCCACCTGTAGGTCCCTGGGAAAGCTTGGCACAGCTGGAGTGATTGACAGGTGTTTCCTCCCATCCCAGGGCTTTGCCTTTGTGGAATATGAGGTTCCTGAGGCTGCCCAGCTGGCCTTGGAGCAGATGAATTCTGTCATGTTGGGGGGAAGGAACATCAAGGTGAGTAACACGCCTGCTCTGGAAATTCCTGCTTCTCTTTTCCTGGCAATAACAGTTCCACGCCTGGAAATGCTCCCCACAGCACTGTGATGGGGGAAGGAGCCTAAAGACTGTTCCCTGATGGACCTTGGTGTCCAACATGGAGCACACAGTGGCTCTGGGTCTCTCCTCTCCGAGGAGAAACCCCTGGCCTGCAAAGTCCCACCTGAGATTGGCTCCAAAGACTGCACTCAGCTTTTCCCACCCACACATGGAATTCTTTTGAAGCAAAGCAAAGGTGATTATTTATATCTTTCATGGTGTCTCTGACACACCCTGAGTGTGTGCAGAGTGCCATGGCCCAGGGGGTTTAGGAAAGAGGTTGGGAATGCTGTGAATTGCTTGCAGAATGCTTCTCAGTCCCTGGAAGTTTGTCAGGTCAGGGAGGAGGGAGCAGAGGCCAGGACCCCGGCAGGGCAGGCTGTTCCTGGACCTGTTCACAGGCGGGGGGGGCCATGTGCTGCCCTGCTCCATGGGCCATCCTGTCTGTACCACAGAATAATGGAGCTGTTCACATGGGAAAATCCCTCCCAGCCCACCGAGTCCAGTCTGTCACCCATCCCCACCCTGTCACCCAGCCCAGGGCACTGAGTGCCACGTCCAGGCATTCCTTTGATGTCTCCCAGGATGGGGACTCCAGCACCTCCTGGGGCAGCCCCTTCCAATGCCTGAATGCCTTTCCTTGAAGAGATTCCTCCTGATGTCCTGCTGGAACCTCCCCTGGCACAGCTGGAGGCTGTTTCCCCTTGTCCTGTCCCTGTTCCCTGGCAGCAGAGCCCGAACCCCCCGGCTGTCCCCTCCTGGCAGGAGCTGTGCAGAGCCACAAGGTCCCCCTGAGCCTCCTGTGCTCCAGGCTGAGCCCCTTCCCAGCTCCCTCAGCACTCCTGGTTCTCCAGAGCCTCCTTTCCTCCAGGCTGAGCCGCTTTCCCAGCTCCCTCAGCACTCCTGGTTCTCCAGAGCCTCCTTTCCTCCAGGCTGAGCCCCTTCCCAGCCCCCTCAGCACTCCTGGTTCTCCAGAGCCTCCTGTGCTCCAGGCTGAGTCCCTTCCCAGCTCCCTCATCACTCCTGGTTCTCCAGAGCCTCCTTTGCTCCAGGCTGAGCCCCTTCCCAGCTCCCTCAGCACTCCTGGTTCTCCAGAGCCTCCTTTCCTCCAGGCTGAGCCGCTTTCCCAGCTCCCTCAGCACTCCTGGTTCTCCAGAGCCTCCTTTCCTCCAGGCTGAGCCCCTTCCCAGCCCCCTCAGCACTCCTGGTTCTCCAGAGCCTCCTGTGCTCCAGGCTGAGTCCCTTCCCAGCTCCCTCAGCACTCCTGGTTCTCCAGAGCCTCCTTTCCTCCAGGCTGAGCTGCTTTTCCAGCTCCCTCAGCACTCTGGTGTAGGAATGTGCCCTCTGTTGACAGAGTGACAAAGCTGTCCTTTGTCCCCCTAAAAAGCAAAGAAGCCCAGAAGTTTCTCTCCTTGGTTAGGTGAAAAGCCACCTCGTAGGCCTAGGGGACTTCACCTCAAACGCAAGGATAGCCAATTGGACAGGAGCCAAAAAGTCCCACCTTTTTTACTAGAAAAAAGGAAGAGAACAAAGAAACTAATTGCTTTTGTGAGGTGTTTTACCAGGAGCAAGAACCTCTTGCACCTGGCTCGGTTTTCCCGTTTGTTATTTTGCCTTTTATGAAACCTTCTTGTTTCCAACGTGGCAGCAGAAGCCATCCTGCTGATTTTTATGGCTCCAGGGGTAGCTGAGCTATCTGGGGTGTGATACAGACCTCTGAGAGCTTGTGAGACCTGGCTGGAGGAGGCACCTGTATCACTCCTGGTATTCCAGGCCCTTCCCAAGTCCATTCCCACGCTGTCCCTGCAGGTGGGGAGGCCCAGCAACATCGGGCAGGCTCAGCCCATCATTGACCAGCTGGCAGAGGAGGCCCGGGCCTTCAACCGCATCTACGTGGCCTCAGTGCACCAGGACCTGTCGGACGACGACATCAAGAGCGTGTTCGAGGCCTTTGGGAAGATCAAATCCTGCACCCTGGCCAGGGACCCCACGACAGGGAAGCACAAAGGCTACGGCTTCATTGGTACAGCCGGCTGGAGCTGGGCAGGGCAGGGCAGGGGGAGTGTGCTCTGCTCCTGGGGCTGCCCTTGGGGCTGGGCTTTGCACCCTGGTGAGGGGGTAGGAGTAAACTTGGAGCAGGCCAGGGCGGGATTTAGAAATATAATTTATAGTGGCTGTGAGGGGGTGAGGTGCTGGCACTGGGTGTCCAGAGGAGCTAGGGCTGCCCCAGCCCTGGCAGTGCCCAAGGCCAGATTGAACAGGCTTGGAGCAGCCTGGGACAGTGGAAGGTGGCCCTGCCCATGGCAGGAGGCAGGAAGTGGGTCTGGAAGGTCTTTGTGGTCCCTTCCCACCCAAACCATTCCATAATTCCACGACTGAACAACGGAAGGCTCATGGGTGAATGATCTCCTCCTGCAGAGTATGAGAAGGCCCAGTCCTCCCAGGACGCCGTGTCCTCCATGAACCTCTTTGACCTGGGGGGTCAGTACCTGCGGGTGGGCAAGGCCGTGACGCCCCCAATGCCACTGCTGACCCCTGCCACACCTGGAGGGCTCCCCCCTGCAGCTGCTGTGGCTGCTGCTGCTGCCACCGCCAAGATCACAGCACAGGTGAGACATGGGGTGGAACAGGGGAGACATGGGGGTAGAACAGAGGAGACATGGGGGTGGAACAGGTGAGACACGGGTGGAACAGGGGAGGCAGAGGGACAGCTCAGATGAGACACAAGGATAGCTTAAGGGAGGCACAGGGACAGCCTCAGGTGAGACATGGGGACTGCTCAGGGGAGGCACAGGTGAGACATGGGGGTGGCTCAGGGGAGGGACAGGGACAGCTCAGGTGAGACACAAGGATGGAACAGGGACAGCAGAGGTAAAGCACAGGGACAGCACAGAGCACTGCACAGGGTGCCCAGAGAAGCTGCCCTGTCTCTGGAAGTGACTAAGGACAGGTTGGACAGGGCTTGGAGCAACCTGGGGTACTGAAAGGTGTCCCTGCTCATGGCAAGGGGTGGGACTGGATGAGCTTTAAGATCCCTTCCAACACAAGCCATTCCAGGATGCCATGATTCCAGATCATACTCTGTCCCAGGATTTCACACATGGAAGCTTGTCCCTGGCAGCTGGGGAATCTGAGACACCAGGTTTTGGAATGATCTGGCACAGCTGATGAGAGCTTTATTTCAAGAACTGGTGGGGAAGGGTGGAGGGAATTCCTCATCTGGAAATCAAACCAGCAGTGAGGGAAAAATGGATGCAGGAGAGGCTGAAAGAAAGCAGGGAAGGACATGGAGGGGTGAGGGCTGGGAGCAGGAGCAGCTGTGTGAGCAGTGCTCTGGCTGAAGGTTGCACCTGTAGCAGGGTGGAACAGGCCTGGGATGGCTTTAGGCTGCTAAAAACAGGGAAAGGCAGTGATGGGTTGGCTTGGATATTGATACAGAGCTTGAGTTCTCTAATTTCGTTTTCCTGAAGTACCAGGAGCTCCAGGGTGGGACCACTGGGCACAGATTCCCATGGCTGTGCCCCCATCCCTGCCTTGGGCAGCAGGATCCCCCCATGGCACCTTAGCCCATGGAGCAAGACAATTCCAGCACTGTTGTGTTGTGGAATTTTCTTGGGCAGGAATTGCTGGTCAGTGCAGCCCCTGGTGCTGCTGCAGCTGAGGCTCCAAAAGGCTTTTTGGGGATGTTTTCCTGAATCAAAAGTGGAGGCAGGAGTGGGAGCAGCTGCCCCTCACCTGGAACTCACAGGCACCCAGCAGAGATTCCACAGGTCTGGAAAGCTCTGCAGTCAGGGCAGGGGGGAAACTGAGACATGGCTGGAATTACTTGGATCAAAATCACTTTGGGAAGGAAGTATGGACTCTGCTTAAGTGAAATGGTAGGGATATGGTACAGAGGGGTAAATCCTGCTGGTCTGTCAAGAAACTGTTCCTGTGAGGAGAGTGGCACTAAAGAGGGAGGAGCAAGGGTCAGCCCTGTCTACCAGAGGTAGGAAAAGTCAGATTTGTAAGGAAGTGAAGGAACCAAAAGTATTGGGAAAAGTTTTTTAGCCATTTCAATGAGAAGTGGGGGCAGCTGGTGACCAGTGGAGCCAGAAATTCCAGTGGTTTTGTTCCAGCACTTTGCCATGCCCCTTCAATAGGAGCTTCATCTCCACTGGAAATAGGAGTGGCCTTGTGGGCACAGGAGCAGAGCCCTGATGGGATGGGCTGCATCCCAGAGCTTGGCCATTTATGCAGGGCAGAGTTGGGATATCACAGCAGCTTTGAGTCACAGATCCACTAACAGCTGGGATGGAGGGACAAAACCTTGGGATCTTCTGCTCTGCCACACCAGAGCTTACAGGAGCCCCGAGAATAAAATAGAGAGAAGGTTGTGAGCAATTAAACCAGGACGACAATGGCCTGGAAAGCAACAACAGCCAAAAAACATTGGGATCCTGGGGTGTGTTTTAGGCACATTATTTCAGTGCTTCCATGGAAGTGCTTACTGTTCAGCTGGATGTTCCTCCTGGATGTTGTTGGAGTTGTGGGCACCTGGAGTCAGGGTGTTCCTTGGGAGTTGAGTTCCAGGAGGTGGTTTTTCTTCCAAGGTGCTTCAGAGTTTCTGTTTCCCTGCTGGGCTGGGTGACACCTCTGCCTTCCCGAGCAGCACTGGGAGCTCCTGGGGATGGGAGTATTGGGAATTTCCCAGGTGTGGGACAGCTGAGCCTGGCTGGGTGCTCTGCAGGGACAGTCCCTGGGGCAGGGGTGACCCCAGGTTTTCCGTGTGTCCCGCAGGAAGCCGTGGCAGGAGCTGCAGTGCTGGGCACGCTGGCGACCCCGGGGCTTGTGTCCCCTGCCCTGACCCTGGCCCAGCCCCTGGGGGCCCTGCCCCAGGCTGTGATGGCTGCACAGGCCCCTGGTGTCATCACAGGTGGGTCCCCTCCTCCTGGTACCTGTGTCCCCTGTCTGCAGGCACCTGTGTGTGTCCCCTGTCTGCAGGCACCTGTGTGTGTCCCCTTCTGTCACCTGTGTCTGTCCCTTCCTCCTGGTACCTGTGTCCCCTGTCTGCAGGCACCTGTGTGTGTCCCCTTCTGTCACCTGTGTCTGTCCCCTATTGCTGGCCCCTGCGTGTGCCCCCTTCCTCCTGGCACCTCTGTCCCTTGTCTCATGGCACCTGTGTGTGTCCCCTCTTCCTGTCACCTCGGTGTGTCCCTTCTTCCTGGCCCCTGTGCCCTCTTCCTCCTGGCATGTGTGTGTCCTCTCCCTTCTGTCATGTGTGTGTGCTCTTGTCACCTGTGTGCTTCTCCTCCTGTCACCTGCACATGTCTGTCCCCTCCTCCTGTCACACACGTGTGTTCTTCCCGTGTCACCTCTGTGGGTCCCCTTGCTCCTGTCACCTGTGTGTGTTCTGCCCCATGTCATCCGTGTCCCTGGCCCTGCCTGGGATGTTTTTTGGATTAGTTTTGGTGTCCCATAGATGGGACATGCTGTGGGTTCCCAGCAGGAACACCTGGCATGGGGGGAAAGCTGGATAATTGGCAGAGGTGTCACTGACCACTGTCCAGGTGTCACTGACCATGGCCTGGCTGTCACTGACCTTGGCCTAGGTACCACTGAATGTTTCCCAGGTGTCACCACTGTCCAGGTGTCACTGACCACTGTTCAAATGTCACTGATCATTGCCCAGCTGTTACTGACCATGGCCTGGGTACCACTGAATGTTTCCCAGGTGTCACTGCCCACTGCCCAGCTGTCACTGACCTCTGCCCAGCTGTCACTGACCTCTGCCCAGGTATCACTGACCATTACCCAGCTGTCACTGACCATCCTCCTGTGCCCATGCTCTCCCAGGTGTGACCCCTGCCCGGCCGCCCATCCCGGTGACCATCCCGCAGGTGGGGGTTGTGAATCCCATCCTGGCCAGTCCCCCGGCGCTGGGGCTGGTGGAGGTGAAGAAGGAGAAGGAGGAGGAGGAGGTGTTCCAGGAGTCGGAGCGGCCGGAGATGCTGAGCGAGCAGGAGCACATGAGCATTTCGGGCAGCAGCGCCCGCCACATGGTCATGCAGAAGCTGCTCCGCAAGCAGGAGGTGAGAACAGCAGGGGACAGCTGCCCGCTGTGTGCCAGGCTGGGCTCTGCAGGGCAGGGGGCTCAGGGGCACCCACAGCAACCCACGGCACCTGTGAGCTCACCCACGGCAGGTCTGAGCTCACCCACAGTGCCTCTGAGCTCAGCCACACCCACAGCACCTCTGAGCTCACCCACACCCACAGCACCTCTGAGCTCACCCATGGCAGGTCTGAGCTCACCCACAGCACCTCTGAGCTCACCCACACCCTCAGCACCTCTGAGCTCAGGGGCACCTGCAGGTTCCTCTGAGCTCGGGGGACTCAGGGAACACCTGGAGAGACTCAGGGGCACCTGGCCTTGCACTTCAGGATTGTTTTACATGGTCTTGGAGTGCCAGGACAAGGGAATGGCTTCCTACTGCCAGAGGGCAGGGTGAGGTGGGATACTGGGAAGGAATCCTTCCTAACATTCCATGTAATATCCCAGTAATGAGGGTTGGTGGGCCCTGGCACAGGGTGCCCAGGGAAGCTGTGGCTGCCCCATCCCTGGCAGTGCCCAAGGCTGGGCAGGGCTTGGAGCCACCGGGATGGTGGAAGGTGTCCCTGCCCGTGCCACAGGGTAGGAATGGATGGGCTCTTAGTCCCTCTATCCCAAACCATCCTGGCATTCCATGATCTTCCCCGAGTCCCTTGGAGGGCTCAGAGCAGGCCCTGGTGAGGTGTCTCTGACCAAACTCTGTCACAAAATCAAACCCTGGTGGCCTTTGGGCTGGAAGGGTGGGACTGGCACAGGCCAGGCCAGTCTGTCCCAAGAACCAAGTTTACCTTTGCCCCACAACATTCCGTAGTGGGGTGAGTCCTGTCTGGAATCCCAGAGGAACCCCCAGAATGGGTGACAAGGTGAGCATTGGTCATGGGTTGGACTCCTTGGTCTTGGAGGTCTTTGCCCACCTTAACTGATTCTGTGAATCCCTGAGGTGTCGATCAAACAGGAGTTCATGGGAATTGCAGTGAGGAAGAGGACAAAAAGAGGGATAGAAATAGAACATTAAACAGAACAATGGATTCATGGATTTTTGTGAGGGCTGTTGGAGGGGACTTGGTGATCTTGCCTGGGCATGTCCAGTTTGTTCCTTTGCTGGAGTCTCCTGACAGATTCCCTGACCTTTTACAGGGAATCTACAGTATTTCTTCCCCATTTGCTAAGAGGGACATTGCTGGCAGCATTCCCCAAGGATTGAGGGTTCCCTCTTTTCCCAAGGGTGCCTTGGGAAGTTAAACACACCTTGGAGCTCCTGTCCCAGCAGCCACAACCACCTCAATCCGTGGGACAGCCTGGCTTGGGAAAAGCTGAGCAGACCTAAATAGTCTTATTTAATGTTTGAAAAAATTTAAAACCCCAAAAACCCAAAACTTTTTAAATGTAATGCTCCATCCAAACCTGTTTGGAATTCTGAGCCTGCAAGTGCCCTTGGTTTGGGCTGTGAGGAGCAGCACAGGAAATGTGTTCACGTGGAGCCTGGAATGCCCCAGGTGTGCCAGGTGCACAGCACAGCCTGTGCTGGGATTTCTGTCCCTGAAGGTCCCCAGAGGCCACCTGGACGTGGCCCTGGAGCTCAGGCCAGGTGACCTGCAGCTGTCCCTTCTGATCTGAGATCCCCAGGGGCTCAGTCATGGAAGGGGTGTGACCTACCTGTGTGTCCTGTTGGGAGCACGCAGAGCACCTGGGGAATCCGGGAGGGCAGGAAAGGAACACAAAGAGAGTTGTGAAAGAAGCCAAAAATGCTATGCCTGTGTGCTATTTTCAGGGTCTCCTGTCAAAGGTGAGGAAATGATGAATCTGACTCCATGTTCTTAGAAGGCTAATTGATTATTTTAGGATATTATGTTATTAAAGAATACTAAACCAAACTATACTAAAGATTACAGAAAGGATACAGACAGAAAACTAGAAAGACACTAATGAAATCTCGTGACTCTCCCCAGTCTCAACACAGTTTGACTATGATTGGTCATTAAGTAAAAACAATTCACATGAAACCAATGAAGCAATCACCTAGCACATCCCAAAGCAGGAGAAGCAAATCAGATAATTATTGTGTACATATTTCTCTGAGGCTTCTCAGCTTCCCAGGAGAGGATCCTGGCGAAGGGATTTTTCCAGAAAATATGACAGTGACATACCTGGCTGGCAGCAGCACAGGGAAAATGAGAGTGGTGCCCGAGGCTCGTTGTGCTTCCAGGGTGTGTCCCAGGACATGGCACACAGCATTCCCAGCCCAGAGGAATTCTGATCCAGGGGCTGGCTCCTCACAGCCAGCAGCACACCGGCCTGCAAACTTGTTGCCGCATTTCTCTTCACAGAGAAAAGCAAGGCACAGTTCTTCCCAAGAATATTTCTGAGTTTCACATTCTCTGAACATCAGAGAGAGGAAAAACAGTTCTGACCATTTGCTGCGCCTGTGCTGTAGAACTAGAGTAGAATGCACTATGGAGATTGTTTGCCCAGAGTGATGGTGGTTTGTTTCCTTGGCCTGTCAGTGCCAAGAGTGTGTGTGGGCAGTCACCAGATGAGTGCAGAGTTTGCAGAGCAAGTGCTTGGCAGATTCAGGTTAGATGCAACATAATGCAGCATAATAAAGTAATGAATTAGCCTTCTAATAAGATGAAGTCCTCCTCCTCATTCCTCCTTTGTCGGGTTGCCAGGCAGCAATAGAAACTCGCAGTAGAATAAAGTAATGAATTAGCCTTCTAATAAGATGAAGTCCTCCTCCTCATTCCTCCTTTGTCGGGTTGCCAGGCAGCAATAGAAACTCAGCGTTCGTCCCTGAGAGCCTGAGCCAGCGGTCCTGGGGCGTGCCTGCCGTGCCCAGCAGTGGGGTTTGGGGTTTGGGGTGCTGGGCTGTGCCCCTGCGTGTCCCCAGGCGTTCATTGCCCGCTCCCTCCCTTGCAGTCCACGGTGATGGTGCTGCGGAACATGGTGGACCCCAAGGACATCGACGACGACCTGGAGGGAGAGGTGACGGAGGAGTGCGGCAAGTTCGGGGCCGTGAACAGGGTCATCATCTACCAGGAGAAGCAGGGCGAGGAGGAGGACGCCGAGATCATCGTCAAGATCTTCGTGGAGTTCTCCATGGCCTCAGAGACTCACAAGGCCATCCAGGCGCTCAACGGGCGCTGGTTCGCGGGCAGGAAGGTGGTGGCCGAGGTCTACGACCAGGAGAGGTTCGACAACAGCGACCTCTCGGCATGAACTGCGCCCCGGGGCTGATCCCAGCCCTGCTCCCAGGGCCTGGATCTGGGGATGGGCCTGACTCTGCTCCCAGGGCCTGGATCTGGAGATGGGCCCGTCTCTGATCCCAGGGCCTGGATCTAGGGATGGGCCCGTCTCTGATCCCAGGGCCTGGATCTAGGGATGGGCCCGTCTCTGATCCCAGGGCCTGGATCTAGGGATGGGCCCGTCTCTGATCCCAGGGCCTGGATCTAGGGATGGGCCCGTCTCTGATCCCAGGGCCTGGATCTAGGGATGGGCCCGTCTCTGATCCCAGGGCCTGGATCTAGGGATGGGCCCGTCTCTGATCCCAGGGCCTGGATCTAGGGATGGGCCCGTCTCTGATCCCAGGGCCTGGATCTAGGGATGGGCCCGTCTCTGATCCCAGGGCCTGGATCTAGGGATGGGCCCGTCTCTGATCCCAGGGCCTGGATCTAGGGATGGGCCCGTCTCTGATCCCAGGGCCTGGATCTAGGGATGGGCCCGTCTCTGATCCCAGGGCCTGGATCTAGGGATGGGCCCGTCTCTGATCCCAGGGCCTGGATCTAGGGATGGGCCCGTCTCTGATCCCAGGGCCTGGATCTAGGGATGGGCCCGTCTCTGATCCCAGGGCCTGGATCTAGGGATGGGCCCGTCTCTGATCCCAGGGCCTGGATCTAGGGATGGGCCCGTCTCTGATCCCAGGGCCTGGATCTAGGGATGGGCCCGTCTCTGATCCCAGGGCCTGGATCTAGGGATGGGCCCGTCTCTGATCCCAGGGCCTGGATCTAGGGATGGGCCCGTCTCTGATCCCAGGGCCTGGATCTAGGGATGGGCCCGTCTCTGATCCCAGGGCCTGGATCTAGGGATGGGCCCGTCTCTGATCCCAGGGCCTGGATCTGGGGGTGGGCCCGGTTCTGATCCCAGGGCCTGGATCTAGGGACGGGCCCGTCTCTGATCCCAGAGCCTGGATCTAGGGATGGGCCCGTCTCTGATCCCAGGGCTTGGATCTGGGGATGGGCCTGACTCTGATCCCAGGGCCTGGATCTGGGGATGGGCCTGACTCTGATCCCAGGGCCTGGATCTGGGGATGGGCCCGGCTCTGCTCCCAGGGCCTGGATCTGGGGATGGGCCTGACTCTGATCCCAGGGCCTGGATCTGGGGATGGGCCCGGTTCTGATCCCAGGGCCTGGATCTGGGGATGGGCCTGACTCTGATCCCAGGGCTTGGCTGGGCTTGGCTCCTGGGAATCGGTCTACCTGTGATCCCAGGGCTCATCTGGTTGATCTCAGATCCAGGGAATTGGCCCAGCTCTGGTCCCAGGGTTTGTCCAAGCTTAGATCCAGGGAAATGGTCCAACTGCGTTCCAAGGAATTGGCCAAGCTCGCATCCAGGGAATCAGCCCAGCTCTGTTCCAAGGCATTGGCCAAGCTCTACTCTGGGGACCGGCCCTGCCCCCTCTGCCTCCCAGGGTTTTTGTGTAAAGGACATTCCAGGACATTCCAGGGCGGGCACAGGGATCTGGGGTCTGGGGAGTTGAGATAAAAACGCAAACAAAGGCAGTGTCACTTGTGTGTGTGTGTGTGTGTGTGTGTGACAGGGCTGCCACCACCTCGGCCCGGGCTGGCACAGGGCCGGCACTGCACTGGCCCCTCCTCGGGCCAGTTTGGCCCCTCCTCAGCCCAGTTTGGCCCCTCCTCGGCCCAGTTTGGCCCCTCCTCAGCCCAGTTTGGCACCTCCTCAGCCCAGTTTGGCACCCTGGGGAGCAGGGCTGGCCCACAGAGGTGCTGTGGGTGCCCCTGCCCAGCCCCAAGCTCCCTCCAGGCACACTCGGGGCAGGAGCAGCCCTTTCCCTCCAGGATGGGCCCCAGGGGATTGGGATGGAGCCAGGGGGGAGCTTGGGGAGGGGGATTCACCCTTGGGGGCTCCTGTCCTGGCACAGCGAGGAACTGGGGGTGCTGGGGGGGAGCCCTGATCCAGAGGAACTGCGCTGAGCCTGTGCTCAGGAATTCCACAGGTCTGGGATCCAGCAGGAGGCTGGAGGAAATGATCCTGTCACTTAAGAAATGCCGATCTGAGCAGGATGATGTCCAGGGAACCGCAGCAGGGAATTCCGAGGGAGGGAAAACCCTCGCTCGGGGGGTTGCTGCCAGGCCTGGGCATGTCCTGCAGCGGAGCTGGCAGACTCAGCAGGGCTGGAATGGCTCAGCCTGGAGCACAGCCAGCAGCACGAGCTGCACAGCTGGCACGGTGGGATGCAGCTGGGGGCTGTGGCAGCTGGGCTCGGGGATGCAGCAGCTGGGGTGTGGGATGCAGGGATTTGGGGATGCAGGGATTTGGGGATGCTCTGCAGCAGCTGGGGTTGGGGATGCAGGGATTTGGGGATGCAGGGATTTGGGGATGCTGTGTCTGCAGCAGCTGGGGTGTGGGATGCAGGGATTTGGGGATGCAGGGATTTGGGGATGCAGGGGTGTCTGCAGCAGCTGGGGTATGGGATGCAGGGATTTGGGGATGCTGTGCCTACAGCAGCTTTGCTGCTGTTTTTGGCAGCGCCGAGCTTTCTGGGGTAGCTGCACAAATCACTGAGCAGCTCTGTTTGGGGCCACCTCTGAAAGGAGGCTCTGGAGTTTAGAGAAAACATCCCAAAAATGCAGTGGGACCGTCTTCCTTCCTTCCAGGCCGGGCTGGGCGGTGTCTGGAGCAGCCAGGGCCGGGGAAGATGTCCCTGCCCAGGGAAGATGTCCCTGCCCATGGCAGGGCTGGCACCGGCCGCGCTTTAAGCTCGCTCCATCCCAAACCATTGCAGAGCCCCCGGGGCCGCCATGGGGCGGGGCGGGGCTCGGCAGCGCCAGCAGCTCGTGCTGCCGCCTGCTGTTGGCACCCGGAACTGCAGCCGGGAGCCGCGCATGCACGGTGCTGCTGATTTACCGTGCTCGCTGCTGCCCTCCTGTGGACAATTCCCGAACCGCAGCTCCAGGAGATGAGCGGTAAAGAGGGAAAATCCCCGATTTGAAAGAAAAATGAGTTTCCTGAGCGAAACACCAGTTTTTTTTTTTTTTTTTTATATAAATAAATGGGTGGTGCTGCCTCAGTCCCCTTTTCTCCATTTTATTTTTCATCCTTTTTCTTCCTATTTCTTTTTCTTTTTTTTTTCCTCCCAATGCTAAAGTTGTGTTACGTCAAATCAGGAACTTTGGAACTGGCCCCAAACTGATTATTTATCCTTTTTTAATTGCACTGAGCAGCCCCCGCCAGCTCCCTCAGCCCTTCCTGGTGCTCCAGACCCTTCCACAGCTCCATCCCTTCCCTGGACATGCTCCAGCCCCTCCAGGTCCTTTGTGAGGGGCTGCAGTGAACAAAGAAAAAGGGAGGAACATTTCTCCAGCACCACTTTGAAGATGGAGGTTTGAAAAATAAAGCTTTAACAAAAACTCCAGGAACTGCTTTGTTTTAGGAAATGAGGCTCCCTGCAGGAAAGGCATTAAAGGAGCTGGAGCGGATACATCAGGTGAGCCAGCAGCAGATTTTGGTAAACTTTTGATATGCCAGGCAAGCAAGGATCAAATTTCTGACTGTCACTTAAGAAATGCCGATCTAAGCAGGATGATGTCCAGGGAACCGCAGCAGGGAATTCCGAGGGAGGGAAAACCCTCGCTCGGGGGGTTGCTGCCAGGCCTGGGCATGTCCTGCAGCAGAGCTGGGAGACTCAGCAGGGCTGGAATGGCTCAGCCTGGAGCACAGCCAGCAGCACGAGCTGCACAGCTGGCACGGTGGGATGCAGCTGGGGGCTGTGGCAGCTGGGCTCAGGGATGCAGCAGCTGGGGTGTGGGATGCAGGGATTTGGGGATGCAGGGATTTGGGGATGCTGTGTCTGCAGCAGCTGGGGTTGGGGATGCAGGGATTTGGGGATGCAGGGATTTGGGGATGCTGTGTCTGCAGCATTTGGGATTTGGGATGCAGGGATTTGGGGATGCTGTGTCTGCAGCAGCTGGGGTTTGGGATGCTGGGATTTGGGGATGCAGGGATTTGGGGATGCTGTGCCTACAGCAGATGGGATTTGGGGATGCTGGGGTATGGGGATGGAGGGATTTGGTATGCAGGGATTTTGGGATGCTGTGTCTATGGAGCGTCCAGCCTCGCGCACGGCGGCGTTGAACTGCCTGTGCACGTCCGTCATCGTGTAGGCCATGAGGGCGATGGCCTGGTCTTTGCTCAGAGTGGACGAATGGGAGCCCCGCTTCTGCCACTCGGCCGTGGCCTTCACCCAGACCTGGGAAAACTCCTTGTTCTCCTGGAACTCGGAGCCGTTGAGGGCCGGCAAGGCCTCAGCCATGGCAGGGCCACAGTTCAGGTACTGGTCATCAAAGGAGCTCTGGGCCATGTCCAGGGGCACCACCGTGATGGCCGCAGTGCCCACGGTCATTGCCAGCAGTGCCAGGGTCTGAGCCAGGGGGGCCATGGAGAGGAGAGTCCAAAGTGACCACTGTGGGACACTGGGGGACACAGAGGGGACACAGAGGACAGACTGTGTGACACAGGGAGGACACTGGGGGACACCAGGGGATGCTGAGGGGACACTGATAGGCACTAATGGACAGGGGACACTGAGGGACATGGGGGGACATGGGGAGGCTTCCTTGGTGAGAGGCTGGGGAGTGACAGTGGGGTCAGCCCGGGGGAGGGGGATCAGCCTTGGCCAGGAGACCCCTGGACATGGCCTGAGACCCTGATCCCACATGCTAGCGCCACTCTTGGGTGCCCCAGTGTCCTCCAGTCATCCTAGAGACCCCAATGCCTCTCCCACAGTTTTGTGACATTCCCCTGGGGTCCCCTCAGCCCCCCCCCCAAGACCCCAACTCAAACCTGGGGTCACTCCCTGAACCCCCAGTGTCCCTCTAAGCCCACCCCCAGACCCCAACACCCCTCCCAGTCTGGTTTCACTTTTGGAATTGTTGGAAATGATACACCCCAGGACCCTAACTGAAATCCCAGGATCACCCCCTGCCCCCTGCACTGTCCCCAAGCCCTCCCATGGCCCCAGTCACACTCCCAGGCCCCCCCTGCTGCCCCCCGGAGCTCAGTGAACCCCAGTCCCACGTCCCCCAGTGTCCCCCAGCTTCCCCAAGGACTCCAACCCCATGTCCCATTCCCCTGCAGGGTCTCCCCAGTGTCCCCCAGGGCCCCAATCCCGATGCCATGGTCCCTTCTCCCCTAGTCCCAGTGTCCCCTGGAGTCCCCCCAGCCCCAATACCGAAACAAACTCCCTGATGGAACTGCAGGTATCAAAAAGCCAGAATTCTTTATCAGCTTGGTCTCACAGCAGATCTCTCCTGGTCCTGCAGCTCAGGGGGACTTTGCCACTTCTATCCACTGTAATTATAAATATTTATTAAAACGGGCTTCTTAGCAGATACAAAACCAGCACATTTCCTGTAAATAAGAGGCATGGCTCCGCCTCTCTCCGAGAATTCTTTTATTTTCCTGGAGAATTCCTAAGAAGTCATCTGGAAGTCATTTTTACTGAAGTCGCCAATATTCCAGATGACCTCGCCTGAACTTCCGCTTTTGGCAGGCGCTGCTCCTTCTGTGTTACAGGCCCTGTCAAAAACCCCACTGGAGTTCCCCTTCATCTTATTCTCCACTGCTTTGAGCCACATTTATTGTCCTGCGTAAATTCTTTCACATCCTTTTATCATTTTTGGCAGTCAGACTTTAAGATCTACCCAGCACCTCCAGCATGTGAGGAAAAGCCACACTGTGAAAAGCCAAGTGTCCACAAAGCAGTCCTGAAACTTGATTGGAATAAAGGGACAGAGTTTCCACAGCCATACCCCCGTGGGGTTTCTCTCTCAAGCTTTTAGAACGTGCAGGCTCCTTTTATCCCAAACTCCCAGCCTCATGTTGCCCTCTTCCTTTCCCCATTGGCTGAGGGACCGGGAAGGTGCAGCGGTCCCAAAACAATTACCCCACATCCCCCTTGAACCTGACATTTTCTCCCAAAGTTCAGAAGTCCAGGCTGTCTGGGGTATGGAATAGACTTTGTGGGGACTGATTTCTCTTATTAGCCGAAAGTTCAGGACTTCAAACGTTCTGGTCAAACCACCAAGGATCTGTGACAAACTTCATGTCTGTAGAGACCCATTTTGAAGACACAGTCATCAATATCTCCTAAACACCCCCAGCCCTCTGAGTCGTTTTTCAAAGCCATCACTGTTGTATCCTGCTTTTTGTTTTATTAGTAGGTTTATGGTTTGATTTGTGATTTGGTGGTTTTCCTTAGTGCTGTTTTTCCTTTTGTCTCCAACTGGGATTTAACGAAGCTCCAGGGGGAAACTGCCGTCCCCCTCTCTTATCATCAGCTAGCCAGGAAAAGAGAAGCGGCACATCACCACCCATCTTTCCTATCAAATCCTTCCCCGTGGCGGTGGCGATGCGCCCAGTGAGTGTCATTGTCCCTGGGTGTCCCCAGAGCCACAGTGGGTGTCCCCAGTGGCTGTCCCCTGTGCTGTCACCTAACTGACCTCGCAGTTGTGTTTGGTCAAGGACCCCGCAGAGTAGAGACTGATCCATGTCCTCTCCCCGTCCCAGATGACTTTTCTGACTTCAAACATCTCGAAGGGCGGGATCAGCACCTCCTCCTCCCCCGGATACATGGAGAACTGACGGATGTTGGCGCCGTAGCATGTGCGCACCTCAAAAATCGTGTCTATCCCAAATTGCAGAGCCACCTCTTTGCTCAGCGACGTCGACGTGAACTGACCGAACCGCACCGTGTCGCCTCGCTGTGCCTGGAAACGAACACCACGCACGCCCCGGAACACGTTGTGACACTGCTCGTTCTGAGCGTGCCTCAGTGTCTCCAGGGCGTCGGTCAGCAGGAAGTGCAGCGTTTTGAAGTGGAAGTTGTCCTGGTATTCCTGGTGGGAGCGCCCGGCCCTGCGCATGGCGGCGTTGAACTCCTTGTATACGTCCTGCGACGTGTAGGTCATGAGAGCCAAGGCCTGCCAGTGGGATGCCAGAGGGGACACAGGAGAGCCCCGCCACTCCCACTCAGCTCTAGCGGTTGCCCAGCCCATGGCAAAAGCAGGATTGATCTGTAACTCGGAGTTGTGGAGCTCCTGCAACTTTGCATTCATGGCAGGGACACAGCCCTCGTACCGGTCATCAAAGGCGTCCTCAGCCAAGTCCAGGGGCACCACCTGGATGGCCACGGTGGCCACAGCCAATGCCAGCAGTGCCAGGGTGTGAGCCAGGAGGGCCATGGCGGGAAGGGGAGACCACGAGCAGTGTGGGACACTGGGGGACAAAGAGGGACACACTCAGGGAACACTTAGGGCATAAAGCAACACATGGCAAAAGTTCCTCTCTGGGGGTCAGCTGTGGGGCAGGGGCAGCTTCAGCTAGAAGACCTCGGGACACATCCTGGGATGCTGATCCCAAATCCTGGGGTCATTCCTGAACTCCCCTCAGAACGACAGGATTACAATCCCACTCCCATGGTCCCATGTCCTCAAGCCTTAGTGTCCTCCTAGATCCTCTGCAACCCTCTTGTGACCCCTAAAACATTCCCTCATCAGCCCCAGTGTCCCCCATATACCTCTCCCCAACCCAAGTCCCTGCCATAATCCCATTACTCATTACATGTCACTCCAGGACCCAACCCAAATCCAGAGGTCACTCCCTGCTCCCACAATGTCCCCCTGGAGTCTCCCATGGCCCCACTGCACAATCCCAAACCCATGTCCCTCCCCAGTGTCCCCCAGCCCCAGGTACCGATATCACCCGGATTGAACTCCCTGATGGAAGTGGAGGTATCACAAAGCTGGAATTCTTTATCAGCTCACACTCACAGCAGATCTCGCAGTTTTCATTGGGAGCGTTTCCTCTTTCAGTGATGCCTGGCAGTGAAGGTTTTGAATCCAAAAGGATTTTTTTAAAGCACATCAGGCATTGCTCTGTAACACACATGACAGTTTTGTCCTACAGTCACTAAGTATGAAATACATGTTCACACTCCTGTGAAAATTCAAGAAGTTTAATAAAGGACAATAGGAGACAAAGACAGTAAAGCAAAGATTATGGCCAGGTGTGTCTTGGCACGCAGCCAAGAGTGCGCCTTCACCCTCAGGATACCCCTTAACTATTTTTTCTATTCCATCCCCTCTCCGACAGTGATTCCCGTCCCCTATTCCTGCTGGGAATGAAATGTGTGTGAGATTTCTCCTTTGGGAAGGCAATGCTCCTCAAGGATCCTCCTCAAGATGGAGAGAAAGAGATGTTCCCACGAGTGTTGCTGTGGGGAGTGACATCAAGCCCTGCTGAAGAATAATATCTTTCCACCAGCTTTATCAGAATTCTTTAATGGAATTGTTTTGATAGAATTATTTAATAAAATGGCTGTGCACAGTGGCCTTGGTGGCCACACTGGCCAGGGTAGCTGTGGCAGCCTTGTGGCTGAGGGATTCGTGGTGATCATGGTGGCCACGATTGCCACAGTGACCACAGTGACCTCGGTGGCCTGATGGCTCAGAGAATTCGGGTGGCCACTGCCAGGGCTGTGGTGGCCAGGAGGGATCCTCCAAAGTGGAAGGGGTCCCTGGAGATGCTCCCACATGGGGGACAAAGAGTGGGGTGAGGGCAGCCAAGTGGGGAATGAAGGGGTCAGTTCCAGCCATAATGGGGGGGTTGGGGTGACAGGTGAGTTGGGAGCCATGAGGTGACAGGGTGTCTGATGGCAGCATGGGGGGATAGAAGAACCAGGGAGATCAGGGGTGTCATGGTGGTCTCAGGGGTGACAGGGGTCAGGGGGAGTCAGGGAGTGCCAGGGAGGGAACAGGGAGTGCCATGGGGGGTTCAGGGAGTGCCATGGGGGGTTCAGGGAGTGCCATGGGGGGTTCAGGGAGTGCCATGGGGGGTTCAGGGAGTGCCATGGGGGGTTCAGGGAGTGCCATGGGGGATTCAGGGTGTGCCAAAGGGGTAACAGGGGGTGCCACAGGGGGTCCTGACTCACCCACATCCAGCACACTGTGCCCATCCCCACAGCACTGCCTTTGGTGGGTAGTGACAGGGTCGGTCTGGGGGGTCCCTGTCCCTGTCCCTGTCTCTGTCCCTGTCCCCCTTGTCCCATGGCAGGGATGTCCCTGTCCGTGTTCCCTCCCAGAGGTGGGGATCCCCATCTCTGTGCCCTGTCGTGTGCCTTCCTGTCCCCATGCCCACAATGGGTGTCCCCAGACTCGGTGCCCCCAGCATGTGTTGTCCCTGTCCCCAAAGTCTCAGGGAGTGTCCCCAGCCCCTGTGCCCTGTCATGGGTGTGCCCTGTACACTGTGGCTGTCCCCAGCATTGGGTATCCCTGTCCTTGTTTCCAGCTGCGGGTGTCCATGTCCCACCAACCACAGTGGATGCCCCTGTCCCCCACCCCCAGCGAGTCTCATTGTCCCCTGTGCCTTATCATGGCTGTCCCCAAGGCCACAGTGGGTGGGTGTCCCCATGGCCCCAGGCTGTCCTGTGTGGCATCACCTCACAGCCATGCGCAGCTGTATTTGCTGAAGGTCCCAGTGGAGCGGAGACTGACCCACGTCTTCTTCCCATTGGGGGTGACTTTGGTGACCTTGAAGGTCTCAAAGGGTGGGACCAACACCTCACTGTTGCTGGGATCATAGGAAAAAGCCTGGATGCCCATACTGTGGCACATGTGGACATTGAATATGGTGTCTGTTCCGTATTTCTGGGTGCTCTCTTTGCACAGCGACGTCGATGTGAATTGACCAAACGCGACTGACCACTCCATGCCTGGAAATGAATGACATGCACAGCCCCGAATAATGACCGTGACCACCGTGGCCTTCCTGGCACCACCCAAGGTCTCACCCCTGGACATGGCCCAGGACTCCTTCGATGACCAGTACCAGGGCTGTGTCCCTGCCATGTATGCAAAGTTGCCGGAACTCTACAGCTTCGAGCGCCAGATGAATCTTCTCTTTGCCAGGGGCTGGTATAATGCTCAGGCTGAGTGGACCCGGCGGGGCTCTCCTGTGTCCCCTCTGGCGTCCCCATGGCACGCCGTGGCTCTCATGGCCTACACGTCACAGGACTTGCACAAGGAGTTCAACGCGGCCGTGCACGTGGCCGGGCGCTCCCGCCAGGAATACATTAACAACTTCCACTTCAAAACGCTGCATTTCCTGCTGACCCAGGCACTGGTGACGCTGAGGCAAGCTCAGAATGCCCAGTGTTACAACGTGTTCCGGGGCGTGCGTAAAGTTCGTTTCCAGGCACGGCGTGGCCAGAGGGTCCGGTTCGGTCAATTCGCATCGACGTCGCTGAGTGAACCAGTTGCTCTGCAGTTTGGGACAGACACGATTTTCAAAGTGCACACATGCCACGGCGCAGACATCCGTCAGTTCTCCGTGTTTCCAGGGGAGGAGGAGGTGCTGATCCCGCCATACGAGACCTTTGAGGTCACCGAAGTCACACGGGATGGGAAGACAACATGGATCAGTCTCCGCTCCAGTGGGACCAGCAGCAACTACAACTGCGCGCTGCTGTGAGGTGACAGCGCAGGGGACAGCCTGGGGCTATGGGGACACCCACTGTGGCCCTGGGGACACCCATGATATGGCACAGGGGACAATGAGGCTCACTGAGCATGGGGAACAGGGCCAACCACTGTGTTTGTGGGGAGAAGGACACCCAGTGCTGGTGACTGCAAATTCGGGGACACCCATTGTGGGCATGAGGGCGACAACATCCATGACAGGGGGGGGACTGGACATTCCCAGGGTCAGGTGATGACAGCCAGGCCCAGCTCTGGTGTTTTACCCTCAGTTGTCAGTTTGGGGTTGGTGATTTGGGCTGGTTTTTGCCCAATTCAGTGCCAAAATCAGCACAAGACTCCACTCAGTGCAGCCCCGATGGCCACAAATGGGGATTGTCCCTTGGCCACATTCCAGGCAGAGCATCCTTCGATAGCCCCAAATAGGTCATTGTCCCTTGGCCACATTCCAGGCAGAGCATCCTGCCACATCCTGCACTTCAGGGGGACCTTACAGGCTGGAAATTGGGAGGTTCAAGAGGGGAAGGGCAGGTCCTGTCCCTTTGGGAGGGACAGTCCCCAGTGTCTGTCCAGGCTGGGAGGAACCTGCTGGAGCAGCTGTAAAAAAGGTCCTGGGCTTGCTGGGTGGTGACCATTGGAGCTGGCCATGTGGCCTGGGGGCAGGAGGGATCCAGAGTGCACCAGGAAGAGCAGGCCCAGAAAGTCAGGCAGTGTTTGTACCCCTTTGCCCTTCCCTGTGCGGCCCATCAGGATTGCTGTGTCTAGCTCTGTCCAGTGCTGTATCCATTTCTGCCCAGTGCTGTATCCAGTTCTATCCAGTGCCATGTCCTGTTCTGGGCTGCTCTGGACCCAATCCTTTGCTCAGGCTAAAAAATCAGGGCGACAGACCTGGTGGGTGATCAGTGAAGCTGGCTGTGTGTCTTGGGGCCAGGGGTGATCCAGAGGGTATTGGAAAGAGTGGGGCCAGGAGGTGTGGGGTTGATCGTGCCCCTCTGCCCTGCCCAGTGAGGCACAGTGCCATGTCCATCTCAGCCCAGTGCCATGTCCTGTTCTGGGCTGCTCTGGACCCAATCCTTTGCTCAGGGATGAGCCTGAGCTGGGAGGTTGGGCCAGGTGCCCACTCTGGGTCCTTCCAGCCTGACCCATTCTGGGATTTGGGGATTCTGGCAGCTGCGGTTCGGGAATTGTCCACAGGAGGGCAGCACCGAGGGCGGTTTAGATAGGCGGCACTGCGCATGCGCGGCTCCCGGCTGCAGTTCCGGGTGCCAACAGCAGGCGGCAGCACGAGCTGCTGGCGCTGCCGAGCCCCGCCCCGGTCACACCCTCACTTCCTGGCCCTGCTCTTCCCAATGCCCTCTGGATCCATCCTGGCCCCAGGCCAGGGAGTAACAGGGGCTCAGGGAGTGCCATGCAAGGTCCCGGTCCACTCGCTTCCAGAACAGAGGGCCCATCCCCAAAGCACTTCCTTTGGTGGGGAGGGACAGTACAGGGCGGCCCCTGTCCCTGTCCATGTCCCTGTTGTCCCCTGGCAGGGCTGTCCCTGTCCCTGGTCCTTCCCAGTTATGGGGATCTCCATCCCTGTGCCCTGTCATGGGTGTCCCCTCTCTGCATTCCCACAATGGGTGTCCCCAGCAGTGAGTGTCTCTGTCCCTAAACTCTCAGTGAATGTCCCCACCTTCTGTACCCTCTCATGGGTGTCACCTGTCCACAGTGGGTGTCCCTGTCCCCCATGTCCAGTGAGTTTCATTGTTCCTTGTGCCCTGTCATGGGTGTCCCCACGGCCACAGTGGGTGTCCCCATTCCCCCAGACAGTCCCTTGTGGCATCACCTCACAACCACTCGCAGCTGTATTTGCTGAAGGTCCCAGAGGAGTGGAGCTGGATCTGTGCCTTGTTCCCTTTTGGGGTGACTTCAGTGGCATTGAAGGTCTCATAGAGTGGGATCAGCGTGTCCTTCTCAGCAGGATAGTAGGAGAATTTCCAGATTTCCACACTGTGGCACCTGTGCATCAGGAACACCGTGTCTATCCCGAAGCACTAGGCAGATGTCTTGCTCTGTGACGCCAATGCGAATTGACCGAACCAGATGGTGTCACCATGCTGTGCCTCAAAGGGGACCCCACGCACCCCCCAGAACATGTCCCAACAACATGGTATCTGAGCTTGCCTCTGCCTCATCATCTCCAGGGCCTGGGTCAGCAGGAATTGCAGTGTTTTGAAGTGGAAGTTGTCCTGGTATTCCTGGCTGGAACACTCAGCCCCCCAGGGACCCCAATCCCAATACCACAGTACTATGTCCTCCTGGCCGCTCCAGAAGCCAAATCCTACTCCCAAGATTTCAAGTTTCCTCAGGTTCCCTAGGACCCTGACCCAAATCCTAGAGTCACTCCCTGAGACCCCCAGTGTCCCCCTTGGCCCGTCCCCAGATACCAATTCCACTCCCGGTCACCAATTTCTTTGGTGTCAACCCAGGAACCTCAGCCCAAAACTGGGCATCACCTCCTGTGCCACAATGTCTCCCAGTCCCTCCCATGTCCCCAATCCCACTCCCACCATCCTGTGTCCCCTTTCACTTTTGCCCAGGGCACCCCATGACCCCAATCCCAGTCCTGTCACTCCCCAGGGTCCCCCCAGGATTGCAATCCCAGTCCCACATTCCTTCCCAGCCCCTGATACCGAAATCAGCTGGAGTGAACTCTCTGATGGAACTGGAGGTATCAGAAAGCTGGAATTCTTTATCAGCTCGGACTCACAGTGGATCTCTCCTGTTCCTGCAGCTCAAGGGGGTAAATTTGCTACAGGGTATTTATACATCATAATTTAAAATATTCATAAAAATGGGCTACTGACCTGATAAAAAAACAGCACTTTTCTCTGTAAATAATTTGCATGACTCCACCACTTTTAGGAAATAATTTTTATTGTCCTGGAGAGTCATAGAAATGGGGTTTCTCGATGTAGTTTTTACGTAGTGCTCCAATAACCCAGATGACCTTGTATTGGAACTCTTGATTTGGGTTGGTGCAGCTCCTTTGGTGTTACAGAACTTGCCAAAAAACCCTCACTGAAGTTCCCTTTACCTGTTACTCCATGGGCTCCAGCCACGTTTATCCTTCGTATCCACACTTTTACCTCCTTTTTGTGCTTTTGCCTATGAGCTGTAGCAGCAACGGTTCTCCTCATCCAAGTGGCCAGGAAATCCAATGTGGAACAAAAGTTTATGGTATATACTCTGCTCACTGTAACTGCAAGAAGATGTGGAACAAGGGGAGGAGCTCGATGTGTTACAAAGAGCTCTGGAATTGGCAGCAGAAAAAGAGCAAACATAGGAACTCACTTGCCATCTGCTTTGAGCATTGCTCATGCCCATGGAGCCATAGGGAAAGAAAGAAGTCAATTAACAGCACAGAGATCTCCGATTAAATATAAACAACAAATATTGTTCTTTCTTGATTGCATCCAGCTGCCCAAAGAAGTGGCTGTGCTACAATCCAGGGCACACCAGCTTGGGGATTGACAAATCCATTTGGGAAATAGACTGGCAATAAAGCTACATGAGAGGTTCCGCGACAAAGCATCCTGGTGTTAATTCCTGAGAAAGGAATTTCAGCCCCAAAAAAGAGGCCTCGATAGAGTTGGGCAGGTTGAAAATTGGCTGCTTATCTAAAAGCCTACAATAAAGAGGGTAGATGTGTGAGAGGTAACTCCCAATAACCAGGTCAGGCCCTCCCCAGCTGATGCTGCAATTTGTAAAGGAGAAAAGCACAACAGAGCTCTGGGGAATCGATGTGATGGGGACTCATCTGTGGCCTCAGATCCTCAGTGTCCATAGAACACAATTGTCAGGTCTGTTACAGACCTGTGTCCAATACATTTTCAAAAGAGCCCTTTGGATTCAAAACCATCCCCTCCAGGCAGCACTGAAAGAGGAAACACTCCTGGCATTACTGACTGTGGGAAATGGAAAGATAGAAACTTCCACGCATTCAGGAGGGAGGGTTTGATCTGCAGCCTTGAAAGGAGCTTGAATTGATGTAAGAATAAAGTACACTGACATTAAGTAGAAAAATCCTAAACTTATGTTTCTATAGTTGTGAGTAAGAATATGCCTCAAGTAAGTAAGAAACTGTATTGGGTAACATGGTGAAGGTTCTATAGTACAGTAATGTGATTGCATAGAGTAAGTGAAGAGTTTAAGGGTCATAATAAGCATATGTGTGCACGTGAGTTAGAAGCCCAAGGGCAAAAACATCTGCAGTGCAGCAGACGTGAGTGAAGGTGATAGGTCATAAAAGCAAAATAACTGACCATCGGATTAGAAAGTTACATAGTGTCTTGCAACAAAGAACTTGTGACTACTTTGTGCTATGCCCGACTGCCTGCTCCTCTAAAATCTCACGGCCTCTGAGACTGATGTTTATCTGAGCGATAAATCCAACGGTAGCCCAACAGTAGTCCCATCTCTTCATTAAAAGCGGCGGCAATGATAACTGGCAAATGGATTTTCTGAGCTACCACAACAATGTGGACTCGGGTATCTCCTGGTGTTGGTGGATCGCTTCTTGGGGGTCCAGAACTTCTCCTGTCACACCAACAAGGCCAGGGAAGTCACTCAGGTACTCTCCCAAGAGATCGTCTCCCGGTTCAAGGTGCTTACAGGGATTTCATCTGATAGAGGACCCCATTTGGTATCTGAGGTGTGGCAGCAACTCAGTGAGCCGTGGGGAGTGGGAGTGGGGGGCACTGGGGGGATGTGGGGCACTTGGAGCAGGATTGGGGTGCTGGGGGTACGAAAGAGGAGAAAGAAAAGAAAGTGTCAGTACCCCTGAAGGCGCTGGGCAGAGTTGAAAGACTGACTGGCAAAAGCAAGAAAAGGAAGTAAAATTGTGGATATGCAGGATGAACGTGGAGGCTACTGGGATTAACCACACCCTCTTTATTGTAGGCTTTTAGATAAGCAGCCAATTTTCAATCTGCTCAACTCTATCCAGGCCTC